TCGCCATCATGGCCGGCACCTACGATTCAAAGCTACGAAATATGCGCCTCCCGAACTATGATAACACGCACTTCATCCGCGTTCCCCACGGAGCGTGTACCCAAGCACCCCACCAGCGGTTTGTCGACGAGGAGCGGCGACCTGTGCCGCTTCACCTTCAAGCAAATGCTCGCGGACCGCGTGGATCAGTGCTTCGTTGGCCTCGTATCGCTCCAAATTTGCACTCTTTCAGGCTCCGGCGTCTCAGTCCTTGACTGATGATATTGGCGTTTTGAGCGATTTGTTTCACCTTTTTTGCCCTCTTCGAACACCGCTAGCCTGGACCGGCGGCGCAGAGCCCGGGGGCACTAGATAAATGTCACTCTTTCCCTCCACCCTGACCGGGCGGATCCTCGACGACGGCGTCACGGCACCACCGGTCATCGAGCTCCAGGGCATCTCCGCCGGGCAGCTCGCCACAGTCCTCACAGCCTACACCCCGCAAACAGAGCACACGGCGAACACCGCGGCCATCGGAGTCAACGCCGCCGCCATCGCAGCTCTGCAGGGCCAGGTGGCCGCCCTGCCCGCAGCTCCGGACCTAACCCCTTATGCTCTGGCCGCGGACCTCGCCGCGGCAGAGGGTTCCATCGTGGCCAACGCTTCCGGTTTGGTGGCCGTGAACACCAGCCTGACCCAGGGCCTGGCGGGCAAGGCCAACCAGTCGGCCTTGGATGCTCTTCACGTGGAGGTCAATGCCAAGAGCACGCCCGCTTCGGTGGACCTCAAGCTGGCCAACCATCCCACGACGGCTGCGATGAACAGCAGCATCGCCTCCACAAACAACGCAACCTTGGCGACTGTTGCGGCAAACTACGCCCTCAAGTCGGTGGTCGATCAGCTGGCGATCGATCTGGCGGCCCGGCAAACAGCCGCCGACGTGGACCAGCGGGTCGCCACGGCTTTGCTGGCCTACGTCCAGCAGGCGGCTCTGGACGCCGCCCTGGCGCTCAGAGACGGCAGGCTGGACGGCCACGACGCCGACATCTTGGCGCTGCAGAGCGCGGGGCCCTTCGCCCTGCCCAGCGAGATCACAGCGCTGCAGGCATCCATCGATGCCATCTTGGCGGAGATCGCCACGCTCGGCGGAGCCACCAATCTCGTGAACGCTCCGGCCTGGCCCGGGAATGTGACCTGGGACCTGCTGGCCGGGACCAATCAGATCCGCAACTTGCACGCCACGGGGCCGCTGAGCATCCAGCTGGCCAACGACAACTGGACCCTCAGCTTCTCCGTGGACAGCTACTCGAAAGGGGAAACGGACGCCCTGCTGGCTCCCCTGGCCAGCGAGGCCTGGGTGAGCAACGAGATCTTGGCCGCCCTGGCCGCCTACAGCACGACGCTGCAGGTGGGCACGGCCATCGCCGATGCCCTGGGAGCTTACAGCAGCACTTCGGAGATGAACACCGCCATCTCCGATGCCATCGCTGCCCTGAACGTCGGGCAGTACCAGGACGCTGCGGGGGTGCAGTTCCTGATCGACCAGGCCCTGTTGGCTTATTGGACCCAAGCCGAGGTCTCGAGCTTCGTGGCGGGAGAGCTGGCCAACTACGCGACGTCTGCCTCCGTCAGCTCAAGCATTTCCTCGGCCCTGTCGAGCTATGACCCCAGCGGGGTCGTCGACAGCAAGATAATAACTGCTCTGCTGGACTTCTACACGCGGGCGGAGGTAGACCAGGAGATAGCCAACGCCCTGGGCAACGTGGATCTCTCGGGCTACTACGACCAGGCCCAGACGCAGAGCTACGTGGCGAACGAGCTGCTGGCTTGTTACCCCCGAACCGAGCTGGACTCCCTGCTCACGGCCACGCTCACCCAGTACTGGACCAGCGGGCGCACCCAAACGGAGATCGACGATGCCATCGCCGGCGCGGGCTTCCAAACCCAGGCGGACGCAGATCTCCGCTACTTTGCGCGCGCTCCCGGCGCGGAGTCCGGACAGATCTTCAATCTCGTCCAAGAGCAATTCGTCCCCAGCATCGTCCGCAATTTGCTTTTGGAGGCGCCCCTACTTCGTCAACAGCCCCGGTGCAGAGGGCGGTGGGATCTTCAATTTAGTCCAGACCCAGTTCACCCCTCGCATCATCAGAAACCTTCTGTGCCAATGGCCCCTCTCCGCCCAGCCCATCCTGGGGAATGGGTCGACCCTCCAAATCAGCTGCGACTGCTGGAGCAAGGGACAGTCTGACACCCGCTACCCATTGATAGCCAACTTCAATTCGTTGGGCCAGCGCGTCACCGACCTGGAGAACAGCCCAGGAGTGGACCCCACGGCGGACCTCACCGTCAACAGCCTCACGGCCACAAGCTTCGTGCAGACACCACTGCTGCAGAGCGCTGCAGCCGATCTCCAAATCCGGAACGGCACCACCACCATCCGCGCCGAAGACGGCACATTGGTGGCCTCCTTCGCTGCCGGAAGCATCGGCTTGGAGCAAGACATCACCGTGCGCTCGGACCGCACTTTGAATGCAACCACGGCGGACGTCGCCCAGTTTTTCGTCGGCAGCACCGCAGCCACGGGGAGCTTTGCGAGCAGCAGCTCGGTGACGGCCACGCAGGAGATCACGAGCGACCTCAGGCTCGAGGCGCCCCTGGTGCGCTCTGATCCGGCGGCGCCCTGGCTCACCGTCCAGGGCGGCACCAATGGCATTCTGATGGACGACACCGTGCGGATCAACGGGGTGCTGGGCCCCGAGGCCAGCCTGCCCTTCCTGAGCTTGTCGGGGGGGACCAGCGGCGTGCAGGTGCTCAGCCCGCTGCTGGAGCAGATCGCGGTGGGGCCGACGGACGGCACTGTGGGAGTCGTGGTGCGCAACGCCGCGCCCACGGGAGATGCCAAGCTGCTCCTCGACGCCAACAACCAGGCGGGTGTGGCGGAGCTCAAGGTGCTGGCCGGCGGCAATTGCGAGCTCAACGCCGTGAACCAGTTCATCAGCATCAACACCACCAACGGCCTGGCGAACCTGGCGATTGAGCCCAACATCGGGGGCAGCAACGACGGGGAGGTGATCTTCGGGTATGGCTTTGTCAATCTCTCGGACCGGGCACTCAAGGAGAACGTCCGGGCCATCCCGGAGGAGGAGCTGCAAGAGACCTTCGACAAAGTGCAGCCGTTGCTTTACGACCGCATCGACGGCGGCAGGGAGCAGATCGGCTTCGTGGCCCAAGACGTGCAAGCCAGCGGGAAGCTGGGAGCGACGATGTGCAAGACGAAGAACGCACCTTCCGCTCGTAGAGAAGGCGGTGCGGTCATAGGCGTCGCCTGAGAAGCTGATCACAGCGTCCGAATCGCCCACAGCCAGCCTTGCGGTGCCCGGTAGCGAGCGCAGGTGCACGTCAGCCAATGGACCACAGAAAAGTCTCCTGGCGGCAGGGCGAGCGCATCAAGCAGGAACCCCGCCCAGCCCCTGCCGCGCCTTGCCGTTTGCAGCCCTTTGCACGAAAGCAGCGCATGCACCTCAGTATAAAATGGCAGAGGACGGGGCAATGGAGCTCTTAGGGAGGCTTGCTAGAGACTACAACGTGAGGGATCCTAGAAAGCTCTACCAGATCGCGAGACGGGAGTTTCCGGACCGACGGGACCTCACAAGCGCGCGGGCCCAGGCGGCATTGCGCAGCGACGTGGCGCGGCAGGTGCTCGCACCGAAGCCGCGGAGTCTGGGGAAGAGTGCGGCGGAGGGGCCGAACGACCGCTTGCAAGCGGATCTGGTGGATTTCTCCCAGAACACGAGGGGGGCGAACAAGTACGGGCTTGTGGTGACGGATGTGTTCACCCGGGAGATGGCCACGAAGGCCCTGCCCGACAAGCGGGCGGAGACCGTCACCCGAGCGGCCGCGGAGATCATCCCCGAGCTGGTCCAGGACGAAACCAACGTCGTGGTCACGACCGACATGGGGAACGAGTTTCGGGGTTTGGAGGCGGCGCTGCCCGGAGGCGCGGTGCACCGGCACAGAAGGACCCCTCGGACCGCAATGCGACGGCGGTGGTGGACCGGGCGATTCAAACACTGAAGAAGGATCTGGCGGGCAAGGTGGCCCGGGACGGTGGGGGCTGGGGCGACCATGTGGAAGAGGCGGCGGAAGCCTACAATGCCCGCCCGCATGCGGCCGTGACGGTGGCCCCCGAGGATGTGGAGACGATGCCGGCCGCGAGCTTCCGGGTCTATCAAGACAACGCAGCGAAGTTCAAGCACAACGATGAGTTGACGAGGAGCCGTCAGCGGCGGCTCGAGGAGGCGGGGGCGTTCCGGGCCCCCGCCAATGCGCAAAGGTCCTTCCAGCCCCAGTACGGGGCGGTGCGGGAGGTTTCGAATTATGATTCGATGACGGTGCGGGCCACCGACGGTTCGGAGACCCTGCTGAAGCATGCGCTTCCTGTGCCTCGCGGCTCCGCGGAGCCTAAAGCACGGCTGACTCGGCGGCCGGTGCCGTTAGCGGTCAGGCAGCTCAGAGATTTCAACCCCGGGCCCACGGCGCCACCCGGTTGAGACACCTGAGACAGGTGAGACAAGAGCTTAAATAGACTAAAGCTGTCTCAGGCCTGTCTCACCTGTCTCATCCCTAGTATGGCAGCCTCGCTGGGGTGAGTAAAGAGGAGCGGTCGGGGAGGGGGGGTCAGGACGGCTTGAGACAGCTGAGACAGCTGAGACAAGAGGCCAAATAGACTAAAGGCGTCTCAGGCCTGTCTCACCTGTCTCATCCCTTGTATGGCAGCCTCGCTGGGGTGAGTAAAGAGGAGCGGTCGGGGAGGGGGGGTCAGGACGGCTTGAGACAGCTGAGACAGCTGAGACAAGAGGCCTAATAGACTAAAGGCGTCTCAGGGCTGTCTCAGCTGTCTCAAGTTGTCGCGGGCCGTTGTTTTCGTCAAAAACATCGCTAAAAGCGAGCCTGAGACAGCTGAGACGGCCCTGAGACAGCTTTAGTCTATTTGGCCTCTTGTCTCAGCTGTCTCAGCTGTCTCAGGCCGGGCCGGCGCCGCCTCCAGAGCATCGCATCCAGAGCATCGCATCGAGAGCATCGGCGAGCATCCAGAGCATCGCATCCAGAGCATCGGCGAGCATCCAGAGCATCGCATCGAGAGCATCGGGGAGCATCCAGAGCACCGGCGAGCATCCAGAGCATCGCATCGAGAGCATCGGGGAGCATCCAGAGCATCGGGGAGCATCCAGAGCATCGGGCAGCATCCAGAGCATCGGCGAGCATCCAGAGCATCGGCGAGCATCCAGAGCATCGCATCGAGAGCATCGGCGAGCATCCAGAGCATCGGGGAGCATCCAGAGCATCAGCGAGCATCCAGAGCATCGCATCGAGAGCATCAAAACGAGGTTCAGGCTAGGGTGTGGGATGGAAACCAAAAAAAAAAGCTAGACCGGCCCTATCTAAACCGGGGGGGGACGCCCCTAGCCGGCGAACCCTACACACACTGTGCACGCAGGGACGATGCAGGGCAGCCTAGTAGGGATTAGGGTTCTATGGGTTTGGGCTGAGGGCGGCTCAGGCTTAGGGAAACCGCGGGGGTGCAGACAAGGACGCACACACACGCAGGGCACTCGCAGGGCGGCCTAGAGGTGGGCTAGGGTTCTAGCTAGGGGGGACTCGGGCAAGGGTTCGGGCGCTAGGGACAACCGGGAAACCCCGACATGCACTCTGCGGGCCACGACCGCGGCTCGGATGGACCTGATCGGGAGTAGCTGCTTCGAAACATGACGAGACGAGTACTCCTGCGCGGCCTCGCCATCGGAATCGAATCGCGGCACGACCGCGACCTCTCGGACGGACCTGATCGGCAGCTGCTTCGAAACATGACGACACGAGTACTCCTGCGCGGCCTCGCCATCGGCATCGGATCCGGCCCCCGGTCCCAGGTAACAAAGAGCCGCTGACAAAACGAGCGCGAAACCACTCTCAGTCCTCAAGCATGCTGCGCACACAGAACGACATGCAAACACTTGAACTCCACGGCCGTCGGTTATTTATTTGTCACTCCCTCGATGCTGTGCAGCGTCGGCCGGTCGGCCCCGTCGGGGCGTCCCCTGTGCACTGGGATCATCATCCAGACTGGCCAGACCGGGCCCAAGCCCCCCGGTCACCCTCCTTGCCCCACTCACGCCCTTTCCGCAAGTTTAGGGTCTCCTAGCAAGACTATATATTATAAGGCAGACTCAAAACAAGGATTTAGACCTGTATATGCATTGAACCAAAGAAAAACGACCCGAAGCTCGCGGGGCGGTCCCCTAGGCATGGAAAACATATACTGCGCTATCTGTCTCTATGCAAGGAGGGTGGACCTGCCAGGCTACTCAGCTACTCACGGCGCCAAGCGCCGATGCGATGACACTCGTCCTTGCAGCGCTGGCCGGGAGCAGGTGCGCCGGGCTGTCGTCGAGCGCCTTCACGCCGTTCGAGTCCGCGAAGCGGTAGTAGATCAGGTTCACGTTCGGCCGCTTGCCCTTGCTGTCCGCACGGCCCTTGCCTCTCTTCTCAACGAACCCTTCAGCCTTCAAGAGGTCCGCGGGGTTCAGCTTTCGCCGCTTCTGGTGCGCATCCGCCAGGATCTCCGGGCTGTTGTTCAGCACCTCCGACAGCTCTTCGTAGATCTCATCCCGGACTGTGGCCTTTGCCGTGCCCTGCGCCTTGATCAATCTCTCCTTGATGAACTTCCTCACCAGCTCCTTCGTGGCATCCTTCAGCTCCATCACGGAGAGGTTGTGGGAGGAAGTCGGGACGGGGCCGATCGAGCGCATCTTCACACCATGCAGGAGGTGCTTGTAGATCAGGAACAGGATGGCGAAGTACGAGGGGCGGTCGCGCTGGAGGGTGTCTTCGATCGGCTCCCACTTGCGCTCGTTGGACTCGGTGGGGACGTCCTTGAAGACGGAGACGTGCTCGATGATGTACGAGCGCTCCTTCACCGAGAACTCCGACGTCAACGGCGGCGCATGGTTGCTGGCGAAAAAGGCCACAAATTGAGGTTTGTACCTCACAAGTTTTTCGTAGAGGTCACGCCCCATCATCTGACTGTTGGGGTCCGTCATCCGCTTATACACCTGAAGCCGGATCTGCTCCACGCCGTCGACCTCGCGAATCGCCACGAATCTCCTCGCGCGACACATCGCCCACACCGGGCTCGGCTTGTTGGGGTCCGCCACGCGCAGCAGGGAGTCGAAGTCGATCGAGCAGGAGTAGGAGCCGAGGATGCACTCCATGATGTTCGCGAGGGTGTCCTTCCCGTTCCTTCCGACTCCGCGAAGCCACATCCCCGCTGCCTGGGGCATTGCAAACACGCCCTTGGCGATCAGCTCCAGCTCCAGGACGGTGGCGCCCCAATCATTCTCCGTCCACCTGTGCAGCACGGCGAGCTCGCGGATGGCGGAAGCTGCAAGCTCAAGCATCTCGCAGGCCTTCTCATCCAGGTCGCACGGCCCACTCTGCTTCGACGCTCTGAAGGCGTCGTGCTGCTTCCTGACCTCGCGGAGGGCAGCCTCCAGCCGATCCTGGGCGTCCGAGCCCCACCATGCAGGCCACTCATGCGCCCAGTCGGTCGAGCGCGTGATGCAGTGGTCCGGGTGCATGTCGATGAAGTCCATCGATCCCCGGTCGAAGAGGCGGCCCTGGAAGTTCAGGTAGCGGCGGGTCTTGTCGCCGTCCAGCTCCCAGTCCGTGCTGTGCACACCCAAGAAGCTCTTCATGGCGTTCGCCACGCTGGTGCGGAAGGTCTCGTTGCTGAAGCCCCAGGCGGCGTCGACGTCCAGGTCCACTTGGGACTCTGTGGTGTCCCAGCGCACGACGTAGTCCGAGAGGTCGCGCTGGCAGACCACCTGCACCATCCACTTCAGCACGTCCATGGCCATCGTGCCGCCGAGGATCCAAACTCTCTTGGGGGCATTGTACCATGCGCAATGCCCGGTGTCCTGCACGATCTTGAAGACCTCCTGGATGCGATGGGGAACCAGGGAGTGCACGGCCGGCGAGCGCAGCGCGACCTGGGCGAACAACCCGTGATGGCCACGCGGGGACTTGAACGCCGTCATCACAAACTTGTGATGCTCCCGCCACTGCGGATCCTCAGCCATGAAGAGCGCCCGGGTCTCACTGCTGTGACCGCCTGCATCGACCATCTCGCGCCGGGCCTCCTCGAACGCCTCCTCCACTGACAGCTGGGGCTCCAAGGTGTACTTGAACCCGTCGAGCCCGCTGTCGAGGGCGCTCATGAGCTCTGCCTTGCGCCCCGCTCGGACGTGCAAGTACAGCCCATCATGCTCGTACGCCAAAACCGTGCCGCCATGGGTCTTGATCATCATCTCGGCGCGGTCTATCAGCTGTCTCTCTCGCCTGGTGTTCAGCACGTACGACAACAGGTCTTCGGGGCGAGGGGAGAGCGAGCGCAGCGCCTCCCACAGCTCCTTGTTTCTCTCCACATCCAGGTCCCGGAGCTTATCAACCTCCGCGGCGAAGCGCTCTGCGTAGGAGAAGGCCTCGGAGCTCATCGTGTCCACGCCGTGGGCCCTCTTCCAGGCCTGCACTGTGCCTCCGTAGAGGAGGCGGAGGAAGAGCTGCTTGGCAATCCACCTCTCACTGTGAGTGGACTGCAGGTGCGCTTGGCGATTCAAGATGAACTCCCGGAGGAACTCGCTGTCGTGGCGCTCCGCGAGGATGCACACGTGGGCGTTGGCCAGGTCGAACGTGTAGTGATCCTTCAGCCCCGCCCTGCACAAGTTCCGAAACCAGCGAGGAAAGACGAAGGTGGAGGCCGCCAGATGGCCGGAGCACACGCCGGGGTCGACCAGCCTCAAGTCTGCGACCTCGTCCTTGCTTGGCTTGCCAGGGTGACGGCGGCCCTTGACCTTGAGATCAGCCATCAGCTGTTCCTCGTGGTAGATGGTCTTGTAGGTTCTGGCGCCTCCCGGAAGCACATTCTTGCTGCACTGCACCAGGATGTCGCCCAAGGCTCGCTCCACCGTTGGCCCCGTGCGCCCCAAGCGATGGATCTTGGACAGCTCCTTGCAGGCCAAAAGGTTCATCGCCGTGGCATTCACGTGGTCGAAGAGGACGAAGGCAGTCGGCGAGGTCGACACGTCCTCCGCCAGGTGATCATCTTCCATCTGCTCGTCCTTCATGAAGTCTGCACACGACAGGAGCTCATCGATGGCCTTCCGGTGCTCCCTCAGCTCGCACTCCATCGCCTCTTCGACCTTGGCGTCCCGCTCGTCATCATCTACGGCGTCACCTGCTCCGACCTCACCGATGGGCTCCGCGACGCTCGCAATCTCCTCCGGCATGTTCGAGCCCTCCGCGATGCTCGCCTCCTCCGCAATCTCCTCCGGGACCTTCGGGCCCTCCGCGACGCTCGCCTCCTCCGCAATCTCCTCCGTGACCTTCGGGCCCTCCACGATCTCCGCCTCCTCAGCAGTGCGCTTAATGCCTCGGCGCGCTCCCTCATCGCTCTCCTCATCCGAATCCCTGATCAGCGAAGGCAACACGCCTGCGAGCGTCCGGGCCGTGTGGAGGCTGATGTTCTGCCACTGCTTTGCGCCCGATGCCTTCATGAGGCGCTGGAGGATCAGCGCAGCAGTCCGTGACCCTGCTGTTGCAGAACTGCTGCAGGTGCACCGCCAGCTCCCCATCTGCCGAGCAGAGCAACGACCAAGCTGCAACACACCTCCAGTCCTCGGTCCCCGCCCGGTCCATCATCGCCCGCAGCTCCTCGTCGCGGCGCGCGTCAGTGTCGAAGCGCCGGCACATGTAGGACGAGAACTGCTCGGCCACAGCATCGGCGCCGAGCACTGCGGCGCTCTGCACATCCGCCCAAGCGCTCACTGCGGCCTAGCCGGAGATCCGAGCAAAGCACACACAGACGGCAACGGCAAGCCCTCGACCGAGCCTGCGCATCGTCAGCCGAAGCCATCGCCTCGGCGAGGTCCGCTGCCACCTGACCGTCAAGGAGGCGAAAGTCAAGGGGGTGTGTCCGGGGCCGGGGGGATGAGACAGGCGAGACAACTGAGACAAGAGCAAAACTAGACTAGTGGTGTCTCAGCCGCGTCTCATGTGTCTCATGCTCGTTTCTGGGCTTCTTTTGACGCAAAAATGCACATGGGACGAGATGAGACAAATGAGACAGACCTGAGACGCCTCTAGTCTAGTTTTGCTCTTGTCTCACTTGTCTCAGGTGTCTCAGGTCTGGTGGCCGAGCCTGCTCCGTGGCCGGCGCCGCGACATCATCGCCCGGCTTCCCCGCCGCATGGGCCTGAGTGGGACCGGGGCAAGCAAAGAAGAATCGAACCCCCCCACCCGAAGAGTTCCCACCTGCTCCGTCGCCGGCTCAGCTGCGGCATCGGGCTCCTCCATCTCCGAGGCCTGCGCCAGGGGGCGGGACTCACGAAGAACCGAATCGCTGAAGCCGGCCTGCTCCGCGGCCCACGTCGTCCCCCAGTCCCAGTACAGGGTGGAGATCTCCGAGAGATCCTCGGACCCGCCGCCGCCAGCCAGGAAGACAACGTTCTTGAAATCACCCGGTCACCCGGAACATGTCATCATGCGAATCAATCGCGGCCACCGCGGTTTCTCCAGCCGTCAACAAGGCTTGCAGCGCTGCCCTGAGGCTCTGGCCTTCGCAGAGCTGCATAATGGTGGTGCCGCCGTTGTACTCGGCCTGATCCATCTCGAACCGAAAGCCAGCGACGACCTTCTCAACCGTCGGGATTGCATCCTGAGCGAGATCACCAGAGCTAAAACACCCAAGACCGCAGCACCGGACCTCCCCCGTCGGCAGGACCTGCTGCTCCACTGCATCCTGAGTGAGATCGCCAGGGCTTGTGAAAAAAACACCCAAGACCGGAGCGCCGGACCTCTCCCGTTGGCGGGACCTGCTGCTCCTCCACTGCATCCTGAGCGAGATCGCCAGGGCTAGACAAAAAACACCCAAGACCGGAGCACCGGACCTCCCCCGTCGGCAGGACCTGCTGCTCCACTGCATCCTGAGTGAGATCGCCAGGGCTAGTAAAAAACACCCAAGACCGGAGCGCCGGACCTCCCCCGTTGGCCGGAACTGCTGCTCCTCCACTGCATCCTGAACGGAATGTAGCTAGCTGTCGAAGCACAACCAAAAAAAAACCCTCCTGCTCCATGGCAGGGCGCTCCTCTGCGCCGTCAGCGCTCTGCAAGTCCTGCACAACACACAAGGTCTGGATACCGACACTGCGCTAAGAGTAAACAAAGCGTCCTGATCCATCGGAGCCTGGGAGCTCGAGACTGCCGGGGCCTGGCAATGGACAGGAGTGATACAACGACTCTTAAAACCCAAGACGTGCCTCTGGGCCATCGCCGACCTCGCTTTCGGACGGCTCCTGAACAACAAGGCTCGCAACACGTTCAACATCCACCGCGCCCTATCCCCAGCCTTCTTGGTGAACCTATCCAGGGCCCCGAAGCTCACCGAGGCCTTCTTAAGGATGTTCTTCATCACCTGAAGGGGCAAGGACCCACCGACCAGCACAACGGAAGCCGCGGGACAGAGGCACAGGCACAGCGAGGAGTCAAAGAAGCAGAGAAGGGCACCTGAAACAAGAGGCGAGGGGTGGGGACAGCGGAGCGGGAGGCACTGCGAAGCCGAGGGCCAGACAGTCGAATTGATGATGAAAGGCGCCGGGCTCCTGGCGGGACAAGAGTGCAGCACCCTCCTACGCGTGCACGGACGAGGCCAACAGCCACAAACCCGAAAGAGACCCCAACAAACCCGAAGCAACGACCCTAAAAATCCTGCGAAGCTGAGGCCCAAGCGCTCAGATTCCCGAGGGCCCAGGCACCTGGCGGGACGAGTCGGGTGGGGGGCAGGGGCTTCAGGGCAACACACACACACAGAGGCGCGCGCACGAAGGAACACCGAAACCCGCAAAATCCGAACAGACCCTTAACTGCAAACTGAGGCCCAGACAACGAATTGAAGGGAAGGTCAAGTACCTGACAAAGGGCGCTAGGGAACAAAAAAAGTTATGGGGGTCTGGAGGTTAGGAGTGCGCCTTCCCCGGTTCAAAAAGGGGGAAGCCCTTGCCACCCCACAGGATAAAAGCGTAAGCAAAATGCTGCGGCGCAACAGCCCTGATCAACAAAAAATGCGCTGCGTAATGGCAGTACAGGTAGACCAGGTAGACATGTCGCACAAAAACAAAGCACTCGGCACTCACTCAGATATATTGTGTTTCCGATGCTCCGCGCCAAGCTGACTTCCTAGACATCATCTCCGCTGCGACTCGGTTCCATAGAGTGTTCGATTGCCCGCTTCAAGATGGCCTCCGCTGTCCTGTTAAGACCCAGCCAATCGACCAAATTCCCCCAGCCGGTCTCGAGGCCACGTGCTTCCGACGGAGCTGGGTGACCGTCCCGCAGGTGCTTCTCAGCAACATCCCTCACGATTGCAGTGGTCGCAAGGTTGACTACGTTCTCAGAGGTGTACTTTCGAGCGGACGCGAAGAGATCACGATTGAGCAGGATAGCGTTAGCAAGCTGCTCGGACCGCTTAGCCACAGCTCTTTCGTCAACCATTGCCCGATGTTGTCGCCTATAGCCTCATGTACTGCTCTGCGCTGCAAGCCGCGGCGCGGTAACAAAGTAAAAAAACAAAGACCAGAAGGCGCTCACTGGGCACTTGCGCGGCACTTGCAGGGCAGCTGGAGTCAAGCCTACTCCGGGGCCGAAGGGGGTTCGGGTGCCCTGGACCAAACCAAAAAAAGAAGCAACCCCGGCAAAAGCACTCTAGCAAAATGTTACTGCAAAAGTCGGCGGGCCTAACTAGAATACTGTTACAAAACAAAATGGCATCAGTGAGCAAAAGCGAGCGAGCATCTGTGAGCATCCCTGCTGGTGAGACTGCATCCTAAACCCCCACGGATCGGGTCGGCGATAGCCACAGGCTCGCCGCCAATCGACACTGAACGCCCGAGGCCACGAAAACTTGAGCCAAACCCAGGGGACGTCTCCACCGAAATCGCGCTCTCGCCACAATCTGGTGTGAAACGGCCCGGCAAACCCTTTTGGGCCACGCGTGGCCCTTCTCGGGGCTGGCTGTGTCGCTTTTGGCCGGCGGGCCCGGCAAGGTGTGTGAAACATAGGCAGGGCGCACCCCGAAGATCGGGGCCGCGGCGGTTCCGTAATGCTCGGCGATTCCGTGTGGCTGTGTTCGACCCATCCTAAACCCTCCCGACCACGATCCGGGGCTGGCCGGCACCGATTTGACAGGGAAGGGTCGATCCGGCCGAAATCGTGCTCAAACCCTAGGCGGGGCGCACACCGAAATCGGGCTCTCGCCGGTGCGTGGTCGGCTCGCAAAACGGCCGGCTGCCGGGGGCCGTCAGGGCGCACCCTCGCCGGGCGGCTTCAAAATCCCGAAAAATTGGGGTGCGGCATGGTGTTTTAGGGCCATGCGTGTTTGGAGTGATAAATGCTGGCAATGTAAAAAATATGGATTTGGCGTGCCGGAACGCCACGGAGGAGCCCAGCGAAGCCAATCTCGTGCGGCTGCTGGATCTGTGGTCGGCGGACTGGAAGCATCAAGTGCGCACCCGCGTCGTGGGGCCTGGAGCGTTCGAGAAGTATTGCACGCTGGGCTTCTTCGGGCACGGGGGGGTGTGCGGTGTTTCCAACGCAACGAGCAAGCGAGCGGCCTGCACTGCAGTGAACCGCTTCTTGAAGAGCCGCTTTCCGAACGGCACCTGGACCTCCATCGCCGTGCTTTTCAACCCTCGCATGGGCCTGCACCGTGACATTCAGAACATGCCAGGGCACTTGAATCATGCTTTGGCTCTCGGCGATTACACCGGGGGGCGAGTGTGGATCGAAGACGACGAGGGCGACTCTACCGCGATGCTGGCCGGCAAGAAGGGCGACCGGGAGCTGCCGGGTAGGTGGCTGGACATGCACGACAAGCCCGTCAGCTTCAATGCTCGCCGCTATCACATGGTGGAGCCACACCAGGGCAGCATGTGGGCACTCGCAGCTTATGTTCCGCAAGCCTACGCTCGCTCGACTGAGCAGCACCGAGAAGCGCTGAGAGAAGCGGGCTTTCCGCTGCCTGTCTAAAACCAAGTGGCCGGGGCTGGAGGCGGGCGAGACAGGCGAGACAGGCGAGACAGCTGAGACAAGACTTTAAATAGACTAAAGCTGTCTCAGGGCTGTCTCATCTGTCTCGCGCGCGTTTTTCGGTCGATTTTCTCTCTCTGGGGAGGGTGTTCCAGCACTCCACTCTGTGATAGCTACAAGCCTTAGTTCAAGACATGGGTCAGAATTCGGTACTTTGGAGCACTGTCGATTCGCGGGCCTACGGCCCGCAGCTCTGACGATCTTAGGGGCTCTAAAGTCTTTGCAAAACGGGCTTTAGAGGAACTTGAAGGGCGCGCCTCTTGCCAGCGGCCGACGAGCACTCGCCAGCAGCTTACGAGCTCCTTGCCAGCGGCCGACGAGCACTCGCCAGCAGCATACGAGCGACCTACGAGCTGCAGCCCAGCAGCATACGAGCACCTAAAGAGCTGCAACCCAGCAGCACACGAGCGACTTACAAGCTGCAGCCCAGCAGCATACGAGTACCTAAAGAGCTGCAACCCAGCAGCACACGAGCGACTTACGAGCTGCAGCCCAGCAGCATACGAGCACCTAAAGAGCTGCAACCCAGCAACACACGAGCGACTTACGAGCTGCAGCCCAGCAGCACGAGCACCCAAAGAGCTCCAACCCGGCAGCCGACGAGCACTGAAGAGCTGCCCCCAAGCCCTCCGCGCCGAACAGACTCGCGCGCGCAAGCGCGCGTCGCTTCCCAAACAGCTCCGGAGCACGACGGCGCGCTTCCAAACAAGGAGCTGTTTCGGAATCCGGTGCTTCCTGCTCCTCGGAGCGGACGACTGCTTGCACTTGCCCTTCGTTTTGGCTTGAGCTTCCCACGAGCTCGTTTCAGCTTCGGGCCTTTTTAAGTTGGTTAGGAATAACTTCTGCAGGCACGCCAAATCAGCTGTGCACCAACCAGCTTCACTCACGCTTCTACACATGTGTACGATCATCTTCAGTCTTTCATTGATGGGCTGGTTTTCCCATCGGAGCCATCTGATCTTCTGGTCAAGGCAAGATTGCGCTTATTGTGGAACGTTGCAACTCTAATGAGTCTGAGCCTGTGGCTGAAGTATCACATTCTTCCGCAATGGAGCCGCTTAAGTGTCCAGATGCTGAGATACTTCTGCCGTTGCTTTGAATGTCAAAACGAAAAGATTTTGAAAATGTTGCTGTTGCGGATGCTTTGGTTTCGAATTTGTTTCATACGATTTGTTGTTGTTGCTTTTCGTTTCGAAGTAGTGCCCCAATAAATGTACCTTTTATGGCCGTTATTTTTTTTTGGCAAGCAGTGAGCCAATGCCATTTTTCGCCGGTGATACGTGCGATTTGCTGCCGGTGTTTTGGCTTCGAAGCGGTGCCCTGATGCTCAGATGCATGATTTGTTGCTTTTGCTTGGTTTCGAAGTGGTTTCCCAATGCTACGATGAAGGATAGGATTTGTCTAATGCTATTTCTTTCAGAATGATGCTATTGCTAATGTGTTGCCGTTGCTTTGGTCGCGAGGTGGTGCCACAATGCTGAAATAAACCATTTGTTGCGTTTTCTTTGGTTTTGACGTGGCGCACAAGTCTTGAGCTGTAATCTGCTGGCGTTGCTCTGGTCCCGGAGTGCCCCAATGCCAACATGTTCGATTTGCCCCGTTTCTTTGGTTTCGAAGTGGTGCCCCAATGCAAGGATGTACGATTTGTTGCCGTTGCTTTTGTCTTGGAGTGGTGCCCCCATGCTTAAGATGTACGATTTGTTGCCGTTGCTTTGGTTTCGAAGCCACGCACAATGCTACCACGTACGATATGTTGCGTTGCTTTGGTTTCGAAGTTGTGCCCCAAGCCTGAGATGGGATATTCGCTGCCCTTACTTCGGTCTTGAAACAGTGCCCCAATGCCAAGATTTGTTGTCTGCGACGAACCTCCTCAGACAGGCGGCCAAAGCTCCCAGCCGGTGGCACCAATGCGACCTCCGACAACACTTCAGAATGCCAAACCAGAGAAGGCAAGAGCCCTCCCAAGTTTCAGAAGCAAGTCAAGAGCAAGAGTAAGGGGAGCGACAAGCCAAAGGACAAGCGCCAGCGCGAGGAATCCGAGCCTTCTTCGGAAGCCCAGTGATCCGAGAGCTCCTTGATCCTCTTGATGAGCTGAAGGCCAGGACCTTTGGCTGAAGAAGAGCCCAAATACAAGGAGAAACGAGCCTTGGGCCCCAGTGTCACGGAAAGTGAAAGTTGAATGGCCACGCCAAGTCCAACTGGAGACGCGGATTTGCCTGTGTCCCTTGGTCACGGTGGTCAAGGAGGAGATACACCAAGTGATACGCCAATGGCGATGCCTGCACCAGAAGGAGTTGCAGGAGGATTCTTTCAGGCCCTAATAGGGAACCTGTCGGCAGCAGCGCAAGCTTTGGCGAGTGCTGCAGGTACAGGAAGTACCAGGAGTTACGACTCTGCAGCTAAGCTGGTAAAGAGTCCGGATGTATTCGCTCCAAAGAGTTTGGAGGAGGAAGTTTCACAGTGGCCAGACTGGAGTTTCAGTTTCAAAGTGTTTGTGGGCTTCATTGATCCCACCTACGCAGAAGAGTTGAAGAAAGTGGAGCTGGCACCACCAAATCCAGCAGATTATACAGTTGGTGAAAGAGAGAGAAGTACAAAGCTGTATGCGATTTTGGCCTCGTATCTTAGGAACAGGCCATTGAAGTTATTGAAGTCAGAAGGAAGTCCAGATGGATATTCTGTCTGGAGGAGACTGTTTGAAGAGTTGGAGCCGTCAAGCCGAACAAGAGGGCTGGCAATGGCTCAAGCTCTAGTGAGCTTTCCCCAGATGACGAAGGGGACTTCTATCTTAGACTATCTGCTTACCTACGAAAAACTGGTTGCGGAATACGAAAAACTGTCCGAAGGAAAACCATACGATGAGAATTTGAAAATCGGAACAGTACTCAAAGGGTTGCCAAATGAGTTGAGGAAACATATCCTGATAGGATTGACCCCTACGACGAAGTACGCAGACATCAGGAAGAAGTTGCTTGAGTATGAAAGGAGTACCCAATCGTGGAATGCGGAGAACATTTTGCAGTCTTTCAACATGGAAAGCGCAACGAAGAGTACACCCTACAATGGGCCACAACCAATGGATGTTGATCGAGTGAAAGGAAAAGGAAAAGACAAAGGGAAAGGATACGACAACAAAGGAAAAGGAGGAAAAGGAAAAGGATACGACAACAAAGGAAAAGGAGGAAAAGGAAAAGGGTACAACAACAAAGGAAAAGGAAAAGGAAAAGGATACGACAACAAAGGAAAAGGAAAAGGTGGTTATAGAAATGCACGAGCAGTGGACGCTGGTGGCTACGGGAAAGGGAAGTTCACAGGAGAGTGCCACATATGCGGAAAGACAGGACACAAAGCAGCTGATTGCTGGCAGAATCAAGGAAAAGGAAAAGGAGGTAAAGGCAAAGTGAGAC